AAAGCATTGAGGAGGCAATCTGATTGGTTGAGTCACTGCCCAATGACTTTACAATGTAAGCTACACAAGGTTTTAGGCCGACTGCAGCCCCAAAATCTCCTGCAAAATGTCAACGAAAGTGGTTGATTTAAATGTTGGCGGATGTCTCTACACCACTCATCAAAGCACTCTCACCACAGTTCGAGGCTCTAAACTGACCAAGTGGTTCAGTGATACCGCCACCAGCACTTTACCCGTGGACAAAAATGGTCGTGCGTTTATTGATAGGAATGGTGAACTGTTTGCCTACGTTTTGGACTATCTACGCGATTCAAAGAACAGCGTCCTCCCCAAATCTTCGACCACATTGGAGCGACTTCAAATTGAGGCAGAGTTCTATGAGTTGCCCAACCTACTTGCGGCTATTCAAGAGACTAAACGAACTGCACCATGCACCATCACTTTGAGCTACAGAGGTCAAATCCCCAATGGACGAGACACACTGGCAGACGTTAGATTTAGACGAATTACACGCATTCTCGTCTCTGGCAAAAGTTCGGTGTGTCGGGAGGCCTTTGGTGAGACCTTGAATGAGAGTCGAGCACCTGATTGTGGACCTGAGGACAATCGCTACTCAAATCGGTACTACTTAACTCACAACACTCTTGAGATGGCATTCGATAAGCTACTGGAGGCTGGTTTCACCCTAGCCGGGTGTTGTGGTGAGACGTCGGTCGAAACTGGTAGTCAGCGAAGCAAGTCCATTGGGGATTTCGATGGAGGCAGAAATCAATTTTTCCATGAATTCTACTTTGTTCGAAATAAGTGATGCTGCCAGACGCTTAGAAACGCCAAGACAACACAACTCTACTGCCCTTTTGTCTCCTTCTTGCCTCTCTCACTAACATACCAACAAATACAGCCGATATGTTGTAAGTAGTTTTCTTTCCCTCTTTTCAACTTTTTTCCAGCTGCCTAGGGCAAAAAAGACGCCTCGATTTTAGCAGTAATTAAATTTGGTGGAGAGATAGAAGAGCGGAAGGATAGGCGAGAGGACCGCCAGTGCTGCAACGGATTTGCCACTTTTCTTGTTCCCAATTCATGTCACGCCTCAAACTCCATAATGCATATCCGTTTTAGGGTTATTGTTCCCGGGCCAGGTAAGACATTAACAATCAAACGCACCACGGGGCTTCCCCAACCCCTTTGCGACCTCCAT